CGCCCAGTGGGGAGTCTGCTTCTCCTTCTCCCTCTGTCCCTCCCCACCCCCACTCCTGCTCTCTCTCTCTCAAATAAATAAATAAAATCTTTAAAAATTAATAAATAAAAAAATAAAAAGCAGCGTAGGAGTAAATTCTCTGAATTGTTCTGATCTGTGTAGAGTCTTTATTACTAATGTCTCTGGATTTAGATAAGAGAAGATAATGTGTCTTTGAAAGCAGCAAAGGTGTTATAAAGGACAAAAAGATGAGAATTAAAAACATAATAGCAGAGAAAAACTTTCAAAACACATATTAGAGGATAAAGTTAAAGAAATGTCCAGAGTCTGTGAATTGTGTAAGACTGATGAACCACAGACCTGTACCTCTGAAACAAATCATACATTATATGTTAAAAAAAAAGAAGAAGATAGCAGAAAGGGAAAAATGAAGGGGGGGAAAGTGGAGGGGGAGATGAACCATGAGAGACGATGGACTCTGAAAAACAAACAGGGTTCTAGAGGGGAGGGGGGTGGGGGGATGGGTTAGCCTGGTGATGGGTATTGAGGAGGGCATGTTCTGCATGGAGCACTGGGTGTTATACGCAAACAATGAATCATGGAACACTACATCTAAAACTAATGATGTAATGTATGGGGATAATATAAGAATAAAAAAATTAAAAAAAAAAACTAATGATGTAATGTATGGTGATTAACATAACATAATAAAAGAAAATTAAAAAAAAAATCTCCAGAGTATAATGCAAAAAACAAAAACAAAAAAAGAAAACACAAAACCAACCAAACAAAAAGACATACAGAATTAACTGGAAAATTGGAAAGAAAAAATAAGAAAATTAAATAGTAATCCCAGAATGTCCAGCATCCAAAAGGAGTCCTAGAAACAACACTGACAGCCAGAAACAAAATTATCAGGGACATGAGTCAAAAATATTTCTCAGAAAAATAAAAAAATATTTCTTAGAAAAGGCCACATGTTTCCAGATGAAAAGATTCACTGGGTGCACAGAACCATGGAGGGAAAGAGATTCCCTCTAATAAAAAATTATTATAATTTTAGGGTAGCAGAGGCAAAGAGACTATCCAGAATCATATTTCCCAATAACAACTGCAAAAACTAGAATCTAACAGAACAATTCTTTCAAAGTTATTGTCAACCTGGAATTCTCTACCTAGCCAAACTACCAATAAGATGGTTGATAATACAAAGTCATTTTTAGACATGCAACATCTGAAGAAGTCTGCCTCCCATGCGTACTTTCGCAGTTAGCTCCTGGAGCATGGGCAGAACTAAGAGAGAGGAGGTTCTGGGATACAGTACACAAAGAACCCAACACAAAAGCAAAGCGAAGAGAATCCTTGGGAGGATGCCAAAAGGAAGATCCAAAGACAACATACATTCGAGTCTAGACCGCATCCGGGTATAGGTTAGCAGATATTCTTCAAGAAGCTAAAATTCAAAAAACACATAGTATGTTGGATGAGTTAAAAGAAGATACAGATTGAAGGAGAGTAGATTTTTGTTGAATTAGTCATAAGTACACAGAACATGAAGTGTATGAATACGGAAAGAGAATTTTTAACTACTGGGTTTCAGGACACAGGGAAGTGAGGAAAGACACCATGGTGTGCTGCTTGTCACGGCCGGGACTAGCCCCGCATTATCTGAGCATCATAGTTACCTGGCAAGACTTATGCTGTAACTATGGAATAACAGGGGCCATGAAGTGTGTTTGTGTGTGTCCATGTGGGTGTGTGTGCGAGGGGAGGGAGATTGTGAAAGTGAGATAAATGCTCAGCTTTGGTGGGAAGTCTACAGATAATGACAAACTTGGAAAATCAGAAATCACAATATTACTAAGTTATATGGATATAAGGATTGAAATTATAAAATAATCAGCTAAAATAGTTGATAATATTGCCTCTGTGGATCAGGAAGAGGGGAAAATGAAGAACAGAGGGTTGCTGTTTTTTTATAACACGCTTATAGAGTCCTTAAATTGTGCACATGCATAACTTTGATAAAACTAAAAATGGAATTGAAAACAAAGCAATAGCTAAAGAAATCAAAATGTAGAAATAATTCCCTTATTACTTAACAAAGCTTCCTTATACAGTATCTAAAGACCCACTTTTTTTTTTTTTTTGAAGATCTGAGTTCATTACAATGCAGTTGACTAGAAAACCCAGGTGTATCTGTGATACACAACACTTCAGTAATTAGAATGTCAAGAGATGACCTTATATCACGATACATGAAAACTTTAGAAATTTCATGTACTTTCTGGAACACACATAGCATTTACCCATACAGTATAACTCAACATTTATCATTGGTTTGACAATGTTTCTCATGTAACTTAACATACCAAATAAACAAGCCTAATTAGCCAAAATGACTTCAATTATATCAAATCTTGGGAAGTTTGTTAAAAACCTCAGAAGGGTTTAAAGCACATGCCTAGATCATTACACAACTTAATATTTAGTTCTCTATTTACCCAAGGTGGCAATAAGAGTTTCTACAGAAGGTTATATAGTTGTTAGCAAAACTTAGCTCCTTTAATAATGAGAAATTTTAACTTTCTTAAGTGATCAAAGACCTGCTAAAGACAAAAATATAGAAACTTTGGCTTTCTGGGTAGATAAAAGAAAGAAGAAACTTTGTTTATAATTTCTTATCAAAAACAGACTAACAATCCAAGAAAACTTTGTCTCTCGAACGGAAAAGCCAAATCTCAATCTTACACTAGTGTAGTTTTATTTTTATTTATTTATTTTTATTTACGTTCAGTTAGCCAGCATATAGTACATCATAAGTTTTTGTTGTAGTGTTCAATGATTCATTAGTTGCATATAACACCCCGTGCTCATCACATCATGTGCCCTCCTTAATACCCATCACCTCACTACCCCATCCCCCAACCCCCTTCCCCTCTAAAACCCTCAGTTTGTTTCCCGGGGTCCATAGTCTCTCATGGCTTGTCTCTCCCTCTGATTTCTTCCCATTCAGTTTTCCCTCCCTTCCCCTATGGTCTTCCATGCTATTCCTTATGTTCCACATATGAGTGAAACCATATGATAATTGTCTTTCTCTGCTTGACTTATTTCACTTAGCATAATCCCCTCCAGTTCCATACATCTTGTTGCAAATGGTAGGTATTCATCCTTTCTGACGGCTGAGTAATATTCCATTGTATATATGAACCACATCTTCTTTATCCATTCATCTGTTGAAGGACATCTCGACTCCTTCCACAGTTTGGCTGTTGTGGACATTGCTGCTATGAACACTGGGGTGCAGGTGTCCCTTCTTTTCACTACATCTATATCTTTGGGGTAAATACCTAACAATGCAATTGCTGGGTCACAGAGTAGCTCTATTTTTAACGTAAAGACCCACTTTAAAAATTACTGGAATTGTGGCATATGTCTAGCCATTGGCCCTTGACATCATTTTTAATTTATTTTTATTTTTTTATTTTTAAAGATTTTATTTATTTACTTTAGAGAGGGAGAACGGGGGGCGGGGAGCAGAGGGAGAGGGATGTGCTCCTCAGTGAGGAGCATAGAGCTTGATGCAGAGCTCAGTCTCACAATTCTGAGATCATGACCTGAGCCAAAATCAAGAGTCAGATGCTTAACTGACTGAGCAACCAGGCGCCCCCCTGGACATCATTTTTTAAATTGACGAAGCTGTCTCTTTAATAAAACATCAGCCTGGTTACTTTTGAAGAGACCATGGGTGGCTGAAGGGCTTAGTGTTGAGCAAGTCTATGGAAAACACTGGTGAAAATGGCAGCAAACTCTTTGAGCTCCTTAGAGAACCATAATCCATTTCTGAGTTGCTGACGTCTTGCTACTTCTTTGGCCACCACACTACGATAGACAAGAGATTTGGTATCGAGATGGATAAGGACTCATAGAAAAAGATAGTTAGGCCCCTTGGAGAGGAGGATGGTTTATGGTGTCTTTGGACTTTAAGTCCCAAAGTTCTCTTCCTACTGGGAAATTTGTGACAGTCTTTCGAGGGATGGCTCTATAAACATCTATAAAGAGAGGAAACATCTATCACATCTATCATCAATCACACCTTTTTCCTTCTCTTCAGCCCCTCACCTTCCTAACATGGCCCTTCCTTGTTCTGCAGGGAATTGCCCATTTGAGTCTCTGGTTGGTGATAGTGATAAGGATTGAGCCTTAAACTTTAAGACATAAAGTTATAAATCAATAAGGAAAAGAAGGCATCACTTTCTCGTATCCCACACTGAAGGCTTACGTTGAAGTCTAGCCACCTCCTTGACCACTGTCTCCATCACAGAAGTGTTCTTTCCCACCTACGCCTTAATCACCATGTTCTCATTTCCAGTGATTTTTACACCTCGTAGAGTCCAGGTCCTATTAATGAAACCTGTGATGTAGCATCTGGTTGATCCCTCCTCTGGAGAAGCTCTCTACCTGCACCCAACCTCTGTCCCACACTCCCAACACACCCTCGCCTGAGTCCTACTCATCCTTCCGTGTTTAGCCTATAACTTTCTCCTGGAAGCATTGCTAGATGACCCTGCTCTGGGTGTATCATGACAAACAGCTGATAACAAGGCACTGTGCTGATTCCCAGTTTCTCCCAAGACTATAAAATTTGTAAGGGCAGAAAAGTTTGCTTTTCTCACCATTGGTTTTCCTGGGCCTTACCCTCTGTGATTGAAACACACCTATTAATCCCGGTGTGAATGGCACAGAGAGATTGTGGGAATTGCCAGAGTCTCCACCCCAAATGGAAACATTAAAATCTGCAAAGTGCTTGGCTTTCTTAAAGGAGAAGCTCTTGGAATCCATTAACAGATAAACGCATCTTCATTTATATTGTAGTTGGTCTAGAGACGGTGAGACAACATCTAATGTACTTGAGGGTTGCATTAGATGAATGGCAGGTCATTTGGCACAGTAAAATGCTCTTAATAGGATTTATTCCCAATCTTTCTATTTTATTACAGCCGAGACACCGACAATAGGCTGGCCCATCGGCGGCAGACGATTCTCCGCGAGAAGGGGAGAAGGTTAGCTAACCGGGGACCAGCATACATGTTTAATGATCACTCAACAAGCTTATCTGCTGAGGAGGAACGTTTTTTAGATGCTGCTGAATATGGCAACATCCCGGTGGTGAGGAAGATGTTGGAAGAATGTCTTTCGCTGAATGTCAACTGTGTGGATTACATGGGCCAGAATGCCCTGCAGTTGGCAGTGGCCAATGAGCATCTGGAAATCACAGAACTGCTTCTCAAGAAAGAAAACCTGTCTCGCGTTGGGGACGCCTTGCTTCTCGCTATTAGTAAAGGTTACGTTCGGATTGTGGAAGCCATTCTCAGTCATCCAGCTTTTGCAGAAGGCAAGAGGCTAGCCACCAGCCCCAGCCAGTCTGAACTCCAGCAAGACGACTTTTATGCCTATGATGAAGACGGGACACGGTTCTCTCATGATGTGACGCCCATCATTCTGGCTGCCCACTGCCAGGAATACGAAATCGTGCACACCCTCTTGCGGAAAGGTGCTCGGATTGAACGGCCTCACGATTACTTCTGCAAGTGCAGTGAGTGCAACCAGAAACAGAAGCACGACTCCTTCAGTCACTCCAGATCGAGGATTAATGCCTACAAGGGCCTGGCAAGTCCAGCTTACCTGTCACTGTCTAGTGAGGACCCAGTCATGACCGCTTTAGAGCTGAGCAACGAGCTGGCGGTGCTGGCCAACATTGAGAAAGAGTTCAAGGTAGGTCATGAACGTTGAGGACTTCACTCCCCAGAGCTGGAGTCCAGGGTATTTATAAGCTTCCATTGGGTGCTCAGTTAGTCACTGTGGTTGGAAAGAACTATGTGTTTTCTGAACAAGCTCTGTTATAATGAAATGTAGTAAAACTTGTGATCACTACCATTTAGAGATGCTCTACTGTAGACACTTTACCTTTGTTATGTCTAATTCTCATCACAGCCTTGAGAAGATACTAGTTGCTTTTCAGATGATGAGATGGAGGCATAGAAAGGTGATTAAGGCCCAAGACCAACGACTGGTAGTTGGCGGAGCTGGGATCAGAATCTGGGTGTGCTGTACTCCAGAGCTGGGTTCCATCTCCCGTGGGACCATGTCTGGGTTCAGAGCACAGCGGGAGGTGCTGCTGAGACCAGAAAGACGAGTGAGCGGAAGGAAGTCATGGTGTGACCGGGGGACACATGCGCCCAGAAGTAGGTACGCTGTAGAGAGAAAGCACTGCATGAGCTCTGCAAGTCCAGAGAGAGCAGCGTTCAGTTCGGATTAGTTCTCAGGGAAGTTACAGGTACGATGGCCTGTCAGTGGCTTAGGGCAGAACGCATAGGATTCGGGGATGCCGAGGAGGGAAGAGCTACTTCAGAGCAAGGTAACAGCAAAAACAGAAGTTTGTAGCTACGAAAGAGGTCGTCACTCAGGAGGAACATTGGGGAGTCTTTCTATAAAGGGTACGTGGAGAGAACTGCCAGATGCCCCTTGGTCCGCATGCTTGTGCTGCCCCCAGAGGGGATGAAAGCCCGGATTCCCAGCCCGAACTCCGCCGTCTGTCATCTCTCTCCAGCTCAGAGGCTGTCAGGCAAACACTCACCTCTAATTTACTAATGTGTGGTGCGGCCCAGAATTAACCCGCCAGCCTCACTGTCTCTTGCAAGGCTGTACTTTGCACATGCAGTGTAAGCTTGTTTAATCTCACTAAACCTCAGTTTTCTCATTCGTAAAATAGAAATAATAACAGCACCTACCTCATAGAATGGTTTTAACCTATCTGAGATCACAAGACTAAACAATGGAAGATCTGTGATTGGATTACAGGGATATTTACATGTAAAAGCCCCAGCCCCTAGCCACTCTACTGGATAGTGAACCTGGGGAACATACCCGCTTGCAGACTTCATGATCTTCCCCAGGACCCTAATTGACTATTGCATGAAAAGGGTAAAGCTGTTTCCTTGTGACTGTGCATACTGTCTGACCAGATAGACAGTTTGGAAGTAGCGTGAGCCATTCTCAGTTAAGCATAATTTGTTTTGTCAAGTTGCCCTTAGAGAACCTGTTTGCACCTGCAGTTAGCAAGGTGTCGCCTGTGTATAGGGCACTAACCTGTAATGGAAGGCCACTTGGCGTGATTTACAGAGAGGAGCCCAAGTAGGTGCTTCATACTTATAGACTTCCCCCAAATACTACCTTACTGACTAACATCCAGAGCCACTCGTAGTCCAGTGTCTTCCTCTCCTGATTCTTTCTAGGGGTATTTCCGTCCTAAGCACACCAGTGGTTTCAGGATGGAGGAGACAACTAGCAAAGCTGTGTCTCCAAGAGTAATCTGCCGCTCAGGCTGTGTGACCTCAGGGGACCTTAGATTTTTGATGTGCAAAATGGGAATAGTATTGGCCCTACCTGCTTCCCAGGTCTTCAAAGATCAAAATAGAAAAGCATTCTACGGGGCGCCTGGGTGGCTCAGTTGGTGAAGCGTCTGCCTTCAGCTCAGGTCATGATCCCTGGGTCCTGGGATCGAGCCCCGCATCGGGCTCCCTGCTCCGCGGGAAGCCTGCTTCTCCCTCTCCCACTCCCCCTGCTTGAGTTCCCTCTCTCGTTCTCTCTCTCTGTCAAATAAATAAATAAAATCTTTAAAAAAAAAAAGAAAAGCATTCTACAAAGAAGAGACAAAGTGGCATAATTCTTAAAGGCAAAGAGTTTGGGGCCAAATAGAGCTGGATTTAAAGCCTGATTTTGATACCAAGTGTCTGCATTGGACACATTATTTAACCACACTATTAACCAAACTAAGCAAGATGACTATGAAGATTACAGGACATAATGGAATCCATTTGCAATGCAACAGACTCGAGTTAATAGGTTTTCTTGATTGACGCTGGGCTATAAATGGCCTCATTTCAATGGAAGAGGAAAACCAGGGAGGAAGTATTAGAAAGACCTGAATGAAGATATTTTTTTTTCTTTAAAGATTTTATTTATTTATTTGAGAGAGAGAGAATGAGAGAGAGAGAACACATGAGAGTGGATAGGGTCAGAGGATGAAGCAGACTCCCCGCCGAGCAGGGAGCCCGATGCGGGACTCGATCCCGGGACTCCAGGATCATGACCCGAGCCGAAGGCAGTCGCCCAACCGACTGAGCCACCCAGGCGCCCCCTGAATGAAGATATTAATGCCTGGTACATATAAGTTAGAGTTTTTTTTAACTGAAATGTGGTTGACACGCAGTGTCCCGTTAGTTTCAGGTGTACAGCCCAGTGATTCAACAAGTCTGTATGTTATGGTGTGGTGTGTCACACACAACACTATTACAAGACCACTGACTATTCCCTGTGCTGTGCTTTTAATCCCGTGAACCGTTCATTCCATAACTGAAAGCCTGACCTCCACTCCCCCCCATCCATTTTGCCCAGCCCCCTGCCTCTCCTCTCTGGCAATCATCCCTCTGTTCTCTATTTATGGGTCTGTTTCTGCTTTGTTTTGTTTCTTAAATTTCATATTTGAGTGAAATCATACAGTATTTGTCTTTCACTGTCTGACTTACTTCATTTAGCATAATACCCTCTAGGTCCATCCGTGTTGTTGCAAATGGCAGGATCTCACTCTTTTTCACGGCGGAGTAATACTCCATTGTGTGTATGTACCACTTCTTCCTCATCCATTCACCTGTCATTGGGCACTTAGACCGCCTCCATATCTTGGCTATTGTAAATAATGCTGCAATAAACAAGGGGTGCATGTATCTTTTCAAGTTAGTGTATTCACTTTTCTTTGGGTAAATATCCAGTAGTGGCATTACTTCATCCTATGGTATTTCTACTTTGAATTTTTTGGAAAGATTTATGTGAGAGAGGCTGGCGGGGGGTGGCATGCGCATGTGTGCTAGAGCAGGGGGAGGGGCAGAGGGAGAGTGAGAGAATCTCAAGCAGATCCCCCCGCTGAGCGCAGAGCCTGACAAGGGGCTCGATCCCAAGACCCTGAGATCATGACCTGAGCTGAAACCAAGAGTCTCTCGCTTAACCCACTAAGCCACCCAGGTGCCCCTTAATTTTTTGAGGAGCCTTCAGACTGTTCTCCATAGCATCTGTACCAATTTATATTCCCACCGACAGTACATGCAAGTCCCCTTTTTTCTATAATCCTGGCAGCATGTTATTTCTTATCTTTTTTATTTTAGCCATCCTCACAGATGTAAGGTGGTATCTCATTGTGGTTTTGACTTGGATTCTCTGATGAATAGTAATGTTGAGTATGTTTTCAAGATGTAAATTTTTGATGACTATGATCTACACTTCCTAATCTTCCCAACATAATATTAGGTCATCAGCAATAAATTATAACAAAAACATTTTCTTAAATTTTCTTTTCTCCAAAGAGAAGAATCTTGGTTTTCAGGCTTTATATTAGATCTTCTCTTTTGACCCTGATTTTGGTACATAAAGTTCCTCAATAGCGATTTATTAAATAGATAAATGACACGTGTTTGCTTTTCTCTGAAACCTCTCCAAATGTCCTGTGTTTCTCAAGTTTACCAACATAGTTTACAAGATCTTCCAAAAGATCTATCATATGTGGGTTATGTGCTTACTGATGAAACCATGAACATAAGAAATACTGTGTATGCAAAGTACCATGATCAGGCTGAGGGGAAAGTTGCTTACTTTGTATTTTTCCTGAACCACATGTGAGTTTGGCAGGTTACATGACTTTTTGTTAGCTTTGATTATGTTTTAGACGAATCTCCTTTCTTTGGATATGAAGAAAATCTTTATGGTGCTAAGATATTTCAGAAATCCCTCAGCAGAATAGCAATTAAAGCACATTAAAAGAACAGTAAACCAAAAGAGAGTATTTTTCTGTTTGTTTTCTCTACAAACCATCAAGTCACTGATAAATCTCACTGTGTAGCATAGTAAGTGTGGTACTTCTCTGTTATTGATTTTTCCTTTGCTTTGTCTTTCCTAGAATGACTACAAAAAACTGTCAATGCAGTGCAAAGATTTTGTTGTTGGACTCCTTGATCTGTGCAGAAATACTGAAGAAGTGGAGGCCATCCTGAATGGGGACGTTGAAGTGTGCCACAGTGGGGGAGATCACGGTCGTCCAAATCTCAGCCGTCTAAAACTAGCCATTAAATATGAAGTAAAAAAAGTAAGGTCAGGCCTGAAGCCCCATTTGCATTATTTCCACTTTTCTTGGTGCCATGTAAGGATGAAGGGCTGCCATGTTTAGCTTGAGCTGGCTTTTTCTAATATACAGGTGCACAAGGCAGGTTCTCTCAGCAATCCCAAGAGCCTAGCTGTGAGTCATTTTAATCTACTCGACATGCCAGTCTTTGAAATCTAGACTTGTTTATGCCGTGATTGTCGCTTTCCTTTCCCTAACTAATGATATAAAAATGACAGCGTGTGTCCAGATTATAAGGTATTGGTTATAGGGGAGGAACATCAGTGTTTGAGATCCAGTGCCATTTCCCATTTGTTGATGTGTTCCTGCTCGGGACCTGAGCCCTCAGACCCCTCCAACAACACTATTTGTGGAGTACTTTCCATCTCTGTCTTCACAGAGTGTCCCCATTCGTGATTGCTTTCTTAGGTTAGGTATCTTTATAAAAACAGTTTTTAAGGTTGGGTTCTATAAAAAAAAGTCCATGTAGACTTTTTTATTATATAATAAAATAGTCTACTAAAAGTCATATATGCTTACGGTAAGTTTTCAAGCAGTATAGATGTGCCTACTTTTTGTCTTCCCAATTCTTTTTTTTTTAAGATACTACTTTTTTTAAAAGGTTTTATTTGTTTATTTGACAGAGAGAGACACAGCGAGAGAGGGAACACAAGCAGGGGAGGGGCAGAGGGAGAAGCAGGCTTCCCCACGGTGCAGGGAGCCCGATGTGGGGCTCGATCCCAGGACCCTGGGATCATGACCTGAGCCGAAGGCAGTCGCTTAACCGACTGAGCCACCCGGGCACCCCTAAGATTTTACTTTTAAGTAATTTCTACACCCAACGTGGGATGAACTCATAGCCCCAAGATTAAGAATCGCACGCTCTAGGGACTGAGCCTGCCAGGTGCCCTTCTATAGTCCCAGTTCTTTTTTTTTTTTTTTAAGATTTAATTTATTTATTTGACAGGGAGAGACACAGCGAGAGAGGGAACACAAGCAGGGGAGTGGGAGAGGGAGAAGCAGGCTTCCCGCAGAGCAGGGAGCCTGATGCGGGGCCCGATCCCAGTACCCTGGGATCATGACCTGAGCTGAAGGCAGATGCTTAACCGACTGAGCCACCCGGGCACCCCTATATTCCCAGTTCTTAATGGAGAGTAGTTAATCACTATTATATTCCTCTCCACAAATTTATATCTTGAACATCTTCACCTTTCAGTAAATAAGCATCCATCTCATCTTTTCAAAGGCTGTGTTGTTATATTATTATTTAATTTAATCTGCTTACTATTTAAGAGTTAATTTTTTTCAGGTTTTTGTTAATTCAAAATATTTGCCAAGTTTCCCTTCAGAAAAAGTGTACCAGTTTATATACATGCCAACAGTGTATCAGAGGGCTTATTTTTTTCTACTCAAAATGCGTGTTACTAAATCTTACCATTCTGAGAAGATATACATTGTATCATGTTTTAATTATCTTCAAGGTTAACCATCCTTAAGCATTGGTAGTCCCTTTATCTAACGTTTCAATATTTTTTATCAATTTTTATTTCACATTGTTGCTTTTTGTCTATCAAATAATGTTGCCCTCTGTCATATGTGACATTCATTTATAAAAAGTAAATATGCGGGGCACCTGGGTGGCTCAGTCGTTGGGCGTCTGCCTTCGGCCCAGGTCATGATCCCAGGGTCCTGGGATCGAGCCCCGCATCGGGCTCCCTGCTCCACGGGAGGCCTGCTTCTCCCTCTCCCTCTCCCGCTCCCCCTGCCTGTGTTCCCTCTCTCACTGTCTCTCTCTCTGTCAAATAAATAAATAAAATCTTTAAAAAAAAAAAAAAAGTAAATATGCGAGAATAGAAAATTTTGGAAAAAAAACAGGTGGAATTTAATTATAAAGTTTTCTTAATTGAAAGAGTTTATGGCACAGGAATGAAAATATATCAATGGAATAGAATAGGCAGTCCAGAAATGGACCCATATACAAATGGGAATAAGTAGGTGTAGCATTGTAGGTCTGCAGAAAAGGTGGTGTGCTTTTTTAAAGTATTTAAATATCTGGGCCAGTAGGATGTTTACATCACTCTTTCAAGATGGAAAAAAAATATGAGTCCTTTGCAAAGCATTGATGAACCTTTTTATAATATTAAATTTCAGAAATTTTTCTATGCTTTCAAAGAAAGCCCATTAGTCATAAAGGAAGAGTTTGATAAATTGGAATCTTCAAATCTATATGATATGTATTAGAACCTCCTGCCGTCTTGCTTGATGCCTGTCAACTGGATGTTTTATGTTTGTTCTTTCTCTAACAATATTTTTCGTCAGGGACCACAGAACAAAATACTAGAACACAAGGAAGGAGTTTCTGAACTTTTCTCTAATGAAACTATTAAATGATCTGTTGCTTCCCTGCTAGTTTGTAGCTCATCCAAACTGTCAGCAGCAGCTTCTGTCCATCTGGTATGAGAACCTGTCCGGTCTACGGCAGCAGACGATGGCAGTGAAGTTTCTGGTGGTCCTCGGGGTGGCTGTCGGATTGCCCTTCCTGGCTCTCATCTACTGGTTTGCTCCGTGCAGCAAGGTACGTCTGTGAAGCCTGCCCGTGCGCCGTCCCCCCGAAGTCTGTCCAGCTGTGTAGGTCCGAGCCAGCTGAGCAGGGAGATTTCTAACTCCTGCATGAAAATTTCATGGAAGCCACAGCTGGGCTGAAATCATATTATTATTTTTAATATTACAAAAATAACATCTATTTGCTGTAGGAAATAGAGGGGGGAAATGGATAGAAAATTAACCCATAATACCACCACTGCTGAGTTGAGAAAGGGTACCAAGTTACTGTTCAGTATATTTCTTTCCATCCCCTCTGTAGGTGTGTCTATTCATATATTTCTATAAATTTTAATGAGGTCATAGTGTGCATTGAGCAGATATTTCAAATATAATCCTAAAAGATAAATTTTTTTTTGTCTTTTATTCCTCCTCTGGCAAAGTTTGAGATGAAAGTTCTTTTTCTTGTATTTATTTTGGCTTAACCTGACCAGATAAATCTTATTTCAAGTAAAGAACAATCAGGTAAACTCTAATGTGATGCTTGTGTCAGTGAAGAATACTTATTTTAGGGACAGAATACACTGTAACGGGACAGCAAAACCCATCTGCCCAGACTTTGGTGGAAATCATATGTTCGAATGGACCCGCCTTTCCTGAGTGTGACAATTCAGTCTGGAATACAGTTGACCTGTCGTTTCGGGAACAGGCACAGGATTCTGACAACAGTCTTATTCTTCATGTTTTTGAAGCCACATTTCTGGAATGGCTCAGTCTCAGCTCTGAGAGTCAGACTGAAATAATTCTACAGCTCTGTGGCTAAGATCTCTGCCACACCATCCACGTGCCACGTAGAAATGCCAGTCGAATCCTCGCTTGTTCTTGACACGTGTGGGCTCATCTTCAAACACCTGTAGCAGGTGGAGACAAACACCTGTGTCTCCATGACCAACATGTTGTCTTCTTATTACTTTGTCACATATTTGATGCGTCAGCTCGAAGGGACCTTTCTAAGTGGGTCCTGGTGACAGTTGGTGCCGGGCTTCCCGTATAGAGGGACCTACAGAATTCCTCCCAGTACGATGATGCGAGCTGCTGGAAACTGAGTGGTTTTCCCTGAGGGTAAAACCTGTCATTTCCCTTAAAACATATAAGGCCCCCAAATTGAGCTTTTATAAGTAAAACATAAATGATGAAAAGAGTGAGATTTACTAGAATGAGAAGTTAGTAGCATAGATCTTCTGGAAAGTTATAATTTTCCTTTTCTTGCCTTTGTCATAGGCATGACAGATTTCACTTTGAAACAGAAATTCTGAATTATCCTTGCTGCCCCACGGGCCACATCCGTGTATGTGGGTGTTCTCTTGGTCCCTTACATTTCCCGAGCATCCAGAGATTGCAGCTGAACTGAGTGAGCGGGGGCAGGGCTGTTCTGAATTACCCTCTGATTACTGATTACTCTGTGATCAGTTAAACTGTAGTATCTTTCCGAACTGAATGATTGTCCTTCTCCACATCCAGTGCGTTCAAACGCACGATGCCTCCCAGAATGCTGGTATTTTGTCAAGAGACTATTTTTGGCAGTCCTTAGAGTTTCTTAGATTTTGATTGAATCCTCATTAACCTGATTTCCTTTACTATTTCTTCTTCCCTGGTCATGTTTCTTTTCTGGCATCTGTTTTCCATCCCATTTATGAACCCTGAGGCAAATAATCAAATTAAAAGGACGCTGTCAAGGTATTTTTTTTTTTATCTAAAATCTATTTTACTGCCTGTTATTTACCTTTGAAGTATGATGGTAAAGTCGGTTTTCACAGTTTTTCCCTTAGCAATGAACATAAACATTATTTACAGGTTATGGGGGAATATTTGCTTAAGCTATATTAATGCTTTTATTTAAAATACTATTTTAAATACTAGGGGCGCTTGGGTGGCTCAGTTGGTTAAGCATCTGACTCTTGATTTCAGCTCAGGTCATGATCTCAAGGTTGTGAGTTCAAGGCCTGCGCTGAGCTCCACACTGTGTGTGGAACCTACTTAAAAAAAAAAAAAAATACTACTTTGAAGACTAAGAAGTTTCCAACATATCCATGAGAGTTAAGCCAGATCAGATTGCAGGCTTGTGCACCTTGACAGAGTCTCTGTCCATGTAAAGTTGGTTTTCTTTCCTCATCTGCTTTCTTCTTGCAGAAATTTTTTCTTTACTTGTTTTCTTTTTTCACCATAACCCAAATATGTTTTATGTTCATTACAATAAAAATAGGTCATGTCGTGACTTCAAATCATTTTAGCTTAAGCTAGCTTCAAACTTGTTATAGTATATTATTAGTTTCAGGGGTAGAATTTAGTGATTCATCAGTTGCATATAACACCCAGTGCTCATTACATCACGTGCCCTCCTTAATGCCCATCCCCCAGTTACCCCCTCCCCCCACCCACCTCCCCTCCAGCAACCCTCAGTTTGTTTCCTAAAGAGTCTCTCATGGTTTGCCTCCCTCTCTGTTTTCATCTTATTTTTCCCTCCCTTCCCCTATATTCATCTGTTTTATTTCTTAAATTCCACATATGAGTGAGATCATATGGTATTTGTCTTTCTCTGACTTGTCTTACTTACAATGGAATATTACTCAGCCATCAGAAAGAATGAAATCTTGGGGCATCTGGGTGGCTCAGTTGGTTAAGCGTCTGCCTTCAGCTCAGGTCATGATCCCGGGGTCCTGGGATCGAGTCCCACATCGGGCTCCCTGCTCAGCGGGGAGTCTGCTTCTCCCTCTGCCTCTGCCTCTCCCTCGCTCATGCTCTCTCTCTGTCTGTCTCTCTCAAATGAATAAAATCTTCAAAAATAAAAAAAAAGAAAGAATGAACTCTTGCCATTTGCAACGATGTGGATAGAACTAGAGGGTATTATGGTAAGCAAAATAGGTCAGAGATTGCTTCAACCTTTTCTGTTCCTATTGGCATTTGGCAGTTAGGTATTTAGTCATCAATAAATACTTGAAGAAAGTATAATATATAATATCCAAAACCAAATATTTCTTTCAATACTTACCCTCAAAAATTTGTCAGGTGAATCAATTATTCACCTTATTCAATTGGTAAGTCCCCTTCTTTACAGTTTTTTTTTTTTTAGAAATTTATTTACAGCTGAGCATATATAGATGACAGATTTTACTAAAATGGATAATTCAATTCTTAAAGTCCACTGAATAGTGCCAGAATCTCTGTTAGTTTAAAGGGAAACAATGCTTAGTGATTTGTAGTAAGAAATAGAGGTATGGGAGCACCTGGGTGGCTTAGTCGGACGTCAGACTCTTGGTTTCTGCTCAGGTCATGATCTTAGGGTCGTGAGATTGAGCCCTGTGTGGGGCTCCACACTTAGTGGGGAGTCTGCTTGTGATTCTCTCCCTTCCCCCCCACTTGCACTCTCTCTCTAAAATAAATAAATAAATCTTTAAAAAAATGAAAAGAAATAGAGGGTTATGAATATCCAAACACATCATTTTAGTTTCCTGCTAACCAAATTCTTGTGTTTGTTTTTTTGCTTTTTTTTGCATTTAAACTAGCACATTTCATAAGCAGCAAAGATGCCTGGTTTGATTCTCCTCTCCCCTTTCTGAATCAAACCAAGAAGGGCCACACCCCAGAGGAGGAGGGAGGCAGGAATCGCAGGCTCTGCCCCGAACGCAGGACGCTGACTTCATGCGTATCTAGGACAGTTCAGCTCACGTCCCAGAGCTCTCTGACCTGCGGCCCACCCCAGTGTGGGCAGCTTTGTTCTCTACCCCATTTTTATCCCCAACCTTTTTAATATATTCATATTTTTACAGAAACATAGTTCAGGAAAAGAGGCAAAAGAAAATCAGACCTACCGTCACCCATTTGTTTTTGCTTCACCCTTATTTGATTACTTGAGAGTTCTGTTTAAACAGGATCTTTAAAAACACAAACAAAATATACTCTTTGATTAAATCTGATGAGCATTCTTACGGAAGTATGATTTTTAGACGTTTTTACAGCTGATTTTTATGAAGTAACTGTGGGTTGCTCTGCAGTATATCTAAGTGTATCTAATTCTGTGGATCCATTGTCTTAAAGCTGGCTAGCTAGATCTAGACGGAGGTAGATAGATACCCGAGCACGCATGCATCCTGATATTCTGCCTGGTGTAAGATTCTCAGTATCAAGAGAGAAGAGACTAGGGCGCCTGGGTGGCTCAGTTGCGCATCTGCCTTCAGCTCAGGTTATGATCTCAGGGTCCTGGGATCGAGCCCCGCGTCGGGCTCCCTGCTCCGCGGGAAGCCTGCTTCTCCCTCTGGCCCCCCACCCCTGCTCATCCTCACTCACGCTCTCGCTCTCTCGTGCTCTTTCTCTCAAATAAATAAAATCCTTTTAAAAAGAAGAGAGAAGAGACTCAACTGTATGATTTATTTCAGCTTTAACTTTTATGATTTTGAAAAACATATAGACAAGTAAGGTTTGTAGGAACAGAGAACAGTGATCACATCCCTCCCATTACAGCATTTAGCTTTTTCAGTAGAAGAACCATTTTTTCTCGAAGAATTGACATAGCTCTGTGCTTTAATGGAAAAATAAGCAATTGTTTGTAAACCACACAGAAGCATCAACTGTGAAATGGGAATGCCTGCTTTTAGACCCCAGCTCCACCGCTTCTGAGCTGGGTGACGTCTAGGCCAGTTTCCGGATCTCCCTGTCTCAGACTTTTCATTGTCCACATGGGCATCTGAGCGGCACCTGCCCTCAGACTGTTGCCATGGTGACATGAGTGGACAGAGTAAAGCACGGAAGTGACACCTGGCACATCGTGAGTGCTGGCTAGGGGGGCAGTAGTACTAGTCACACATTTTCCTGTTACGATGCATTCAGTTGGGAATCGTTGAACATGTTGAGCCGTCTCCTAAGAGGAACTGCACATGCACACGGAGTCATTCAGCATTTCAGGGGAGGCGCAGAGCCCTTGAGACTCATCCCGGACACGTACCGCCCCTCTGCCCACCGAGGACTCGTGCATCTCACACGGATACTCATCCTGCACTGCAGGAGACGGGAGCTCTGACTGCCTGCGTGTTTCACATGAAGAACCTGAGTTTCACATCATTTAGGACTTTTACTCACTGCCACTCAGCTCATGAGGGAATGAACCTGGAACCTGAAGTTAACATGTTGGGCTTTAAATCCAGCGTCGTTCCAGGGCAGGGCTCCGAGTACCTCATGGGACCTGCCTGCTGTCGGGATCGTGGCCCTCAGGCTGCTTCCCTGGTCAGCAGGACACCCCGCGCCCAGCCTCACGTGTGCCCGCGTCACTGACAGACGCCGTGAGGAGAGCAGACAGGCGGATACGGACCAGTGCGAAGTCGATTCCGCTCCAGACCTTCACCGCTGCTTCTTCGATACTTTATCCTCACTAAAGCAGTTCGGTGTTTATGAATAATGATGATACTATGCTCTGCCTTTTGTCGTAAAATATTATCTTGTCAGTGTTATAGAATATTTTAAGAACTTAAGTATCATTTAACAGAAGAGTGAGCTGATTGAATTATAAATCCAGAGTATCAGCGTATGTCGATGAGGGGTATGACTAACATTTTCAAATGGCATGAAGAATTGTTTTTCTTTCATCAGTTATATAAATATACATAATTATCTTAGGAGAACGTTGGAATACACGTTTATTCTTGTGCATGTGCATGTGTGTTTGGCAAAGTGTATGAAACAAAGTTAAGATTTTCTTTCGGTGTGTATTGTGGCAGATGGGGAAGATTATGCGAGGACCATTCATGAAGTTTGTAGCACACGCTGCGTCCTTTACCATTTTTCTGGGACTGCTAGTCATGAATGCAGCTGACAGATTTGAAGGCACCAAACTCCTTCCTAATGAAACCAGCACAGATAATGCAAAACAGCTGTTCAGGATGAAAACATCCTGCTTCTCGTGGATGGAGATGCTCATTATATCCTGGGTAATAGGTAAAGACTGGTATTCTGTCATCCTTTGTGTGTGTGTGTGTGTGTGTGTGTGACATTCGCAGCTGGACCGACCAAGGCTGATTCCTTCACACATCAGGTACACAGATGCATCCAGCACGCTGCAGTGCACCACACACCAGGATTTTCTTTGTGTTTGTAATGCGTGGTTATCTTGGGTTCATTATCAGGGGCACAGTCTTCTCACACACCACGTGCTTTTTAAGTTTCCAAGAAAAACCTGGAAGAAAACAGTAGGATAGTATTGATCAAATCTGGCCAGTGATGAAGTAATGCTATTCATATTTTGGGAGAGCTGGGACTTCAGATTTAAAAACAACCACATGATTTTATGTTGAGACTTAGTAGGAACTGAGCTAATAGTCACTCACATTTATTGAACAGCTATTATGTACAGAACTGTTCAAAGCACTTTACATACATCAGATCACACAGTTCTCTAATCTGTAACATGACACTAACATCTACTTTATAGTGTTTGCTTTAGATCCCCCACAAAGTAAGCGAAGCAGAGAGAATGCTTAACTCCTGCACTCTTTGTCTTTGGAATCAATCATACACATGGCTTGTTGTTAAGTATAATGCAAATGAGAAAGGTATTTCAATCGGATGTTTATGAACAAATAAATTCAGTAGTTAGGTGGTGCCTTTGTTAGGTAAGGAGGGTACCCAGGTGAATGAGACAGAGTCCTTGCAGGGAAGGAAGTTAAGTGTGGGGGTCAGGTCAATACGTAAATCGATTGCTGAAACCTATTGACAAATACTATAATTGAGGCGTTATTAGGATAATATGAACATACACAGGTTGGGTATCTACATCTGAGTGAGGTGGGATGTAGGAAGGGCAGAGAAGGCCTCCCTGCATAGCAGCTTCCATCTAAGACTTTGGAGCGAAGGCAGTGTCACCGGACTGAGTGTTTGGGGACCAAGGACACTACAAGGCCTGGAAACATTGTGTGCAAAGCTGTGGAGCTAGGACGGCCCCTGGCACACCTGAAATGTCAGGTGGTGGGGCCCCACTTGTATGCAGGTGCATGTCCGGAGGCGGGCTCCACTGGAGAACAGGTGCATGTCTGGAGGTGCCCCTTCCCCCTGCTGGGGTGCAGGTGCATGTCAGGTGGTGGGGCCCTGCTTGTATGCAGGTGCATATCAGGAGGAGGGCCCCACTGGAGAACAGGTGCATGTCAGGTGGTGGGTCCCCGCTGGGGCGCAGGTTCATGTCAGGTGGTGGGTCCCCACTGGGGCGCAGGTGCATGTCAGGTGGTGGGT